ATAGAATAGAAATGCAGGCATTTTCAAATTTAGGACTTTACCGCACGTTCACTAATGTATGCTCTGCTTTAATTCAACAAATATTCGAAATTGTTCAGTAGTAACCAGTGACGTAAGCAGTCTCAGGTGCACTTTCCAGCAAGATTTATAAATACTCCCTATCTTAAACTTAACGCAATTTTTCTTAAAATTTTAATATGAGTCAAGAACACTATGAAGAGACATTCAAAAATTTATAGTCATTTATTTTATTTTAATTTATATTAATTTATCTATATTAATTTATATATTTTAATTTATGTATTTTTATTTCAATTATTTTAATTTAAATTATTTTAATATTAGTTAATAAGGAATTAATAATTGCAATGGAAAGGCGGAATTTACTATGCTTACTAAGCCACAATGTAAGAAATATATAAAACTTTTCAAGATTATTATTATTATTATTATTTTGGAAAAAATATAAAAAGTTTAAAAGGTTACTTTTTTATGAGGCCTCTTAAGTAACAGTTGGAAAAAAAAATTTGTATTATACTTTTGTGTTAACGGAGAAAGTTTACAAGAAAACCATACATTAAATCAAAGTAAAACTATCATTTTATTCAAGTATACTATTTAGAGTGCAGTGTTACGTGGCAAAGTTTTTTCAAAAAATTACAACTAGTATCATTTTACCATTTCCCATACTCATTTTAATGGAACTAATTAAACAATAAATTATGTTTTGTAGTTTAGTTACTTATCGGGTTTATGTTTCTTTTTGCACATGAACTCCATTGTTCTTATCAGAAAATTTTAAAGTAGATCGTATACTACCTACCGTGAGAAAAAGGTACAATCAAAACTACTAGAATATGGTAAATTTTGACGCGTTTCTGACTCTATGGAAGCACAAAAAAGCTCGGTAATTTTTACGAAGCTCTTTAAAAAAATATGGTTTATAATATATGATAAAATTTAATAATTTTTAATGATACCTTAGAGCATGGCATAAAAATCATTCATTCGGTTCAATTTATTTTTCAGGTTTGTATTTTTTACTAAATGTGTGGTAATAAGAAATATTATTTTGGAAGAATTTCCAGTAAACCGTTACCATAGGAATAGAAAAACTACCGGAAAAATGGTTTAATTGGTAGTATATTTTGATTCTGTTGGAAAGAATTATACATATTTTTTTCCTTTACCATACAGCACAGAAAATTTTACATGAATTTTTTTCTTCGTGCATATATATCAAATTATATCCATATAAATCGATTAAAAATTATCGATTTATTTAAAAATCACGCAACCAACCAAACTTTAATCTACTTCCTATTAATGTGATCCCTTCAAATCCTATGGGACTCCCTTACATAACCAATTCTAAGAGTTTTCATGCTTTTGTATTTACCTTTTTTTATTTTACGTACTTTATAGTGTCGTTATATTTTTTTTTTGCTTTTGTACTTTTACCTTTAAGGATTTCACGCATTTTATAACATTGTGTTATTTTTTTCTTCAAGTTCTCCTTAAAAGGTGATGGAAATAAAGCTTCAATTAAAATTTAGTTTTTACGCGAATNGTAATTTTTACCGAAGCACTTTAGTAATGATTTTTGTAAAATAAATAATAAAACATGGTTTTATAACATGTGATAAGCTTTGTTAATTTTTAATGATACCTTAGAGCATGGCATAAAAATCATTCATTCGGTTCAATTTACTTTTCAGGTTGGTATTTTTTACTAAATGTGAGGTAATAAGAACTATTATTTTGGAAGAATTTTCAGTAAACCGTTACGATAGGAATAGAAAAACTACCGGAAAAATGGTTTAATTACAGTATATTTTGATTTTGTTGAAAAGAATTATATATATTTTTTTCCTTCACCATACAGCACAGAAAATTTTACATGAATTTTTTTTCTTCGTGCATGTATATCAAATTATATCCATATAAATCGATTAAAAATTATCGATTTATTTAAAAATCCAGCAACCAACCAAACTTTAATCTACTTCCTTTTAATGTGATCCTTTCAAATCCTATGCGACTCCCTTACATAACCAATTCTAAGAGTTTTCATGCTTTTGTATTTACCTTTTTTTATTTTACGTACTTTNTTTTTTTTTTGCTTTTGTACTTTTACCTTTAAGGATTTCACGCATTTTATAACATTGTGTTATTTTTTTCTTCAAGTTCTCCTTAAAAGGTGATGGAAATAAAGCTTCATTTAAAATTTAGTTTTTACGCGAATTCTTAATATGTCTATATTAAGGGTGATCTTTACGGAACTCCCAGTATAGCATGGGCTCGCAAGAAGGACTTTTTTTAGTGTAATTGTTCAGATATACAAGATATCTGATAAAGTCTTTAACTCAGACGCGGTTTAAATTTTTTACGTTTGGTTAATAGAAACATTTTTTTAATTTAATTTTTTATTATTATTTATTTATTAATGATTCTCAAAATTTGCCATTTGAATTGTGTTTCAACACACGACAATTCAAATAGTAATTTAAATAAACAGTAGTTAAATAAAAAAAAAAAACTTTTTTTTTTAAGGTTTTACTCCTTCCTGTTTATTCAACAGCCTTCACCAATCATTAAAAACAACTTTGATTAACGTTCCGTTAAATCTGAGCAGCACTTTTATACGGTATTATGTGCTTTTGATTCATTCACGAATGCAAAGTGACTCGTGTACCGATCTTTCTTTATGCTTCCAAAAAATAAATGTAGTGCAAAAATGTTTTACTTTATAATGATATATCACTTTTTTATAGTTTGCATTAATAATAATATAATTTAAAAACCCTTAGATAACCTAAGGACTTGTCAAATATCTGATGCATGTAAGTTAAACGATTAAACTTATCTCATTACTACAAATAAATAGTTCGAATAAAATCCTTATTTATTATAGAAATTTAATAACTTTAAGTTCACAAATAAATTAATCATTTAAAAAAGCGGTAAAAACTTAATTTATTCACATTTTTATTTATTAAAACTTTATTTTCTTCATTAAAAAGATGTGAGCGATAGTTTTTTTTTTATAATTAGTTAATATTTTTGCAGATTAGTCAATGATTATATTAACACTTTCGAAGAAGTCTTTTTCTGCGTTAAAGAGTAAAAGATACCAAACACGGCTAACTTCAAACAATAAAATTTGCACTTATTTGTAGTTGTTTAGATCTTAGCGGAATAGCTACTGGCAATTGAAATTTATTTGTTTTACAAAATAAATAAAACTTTTTTGATCATGAAAGAAGAAAAAAATTTTAAGACTACTTTGTTTTTTAAATTTCATATTTTAATACAAATATAATTCCGATAATCTAACAGTCTTTTTAGTAACTATAAGACTGTTTTTTATAATTGAAAAATATCAAAAAAAAATATGCTTTTGCTTGTTATTAGAGCTTAAGAAAAAAATTTATGAAAGGGACACCGGTGACCTCTCCGAGTCGTCAAAGAGTTAAGAGATTTGATTTCGTGAAAAAATTAAACCAAATCGATGAAATTTTATTTAAAGTTATAGTTCGAGGAAATTTTTTCACAAAATGTGTCTGATATGAGCCTATCAAACGTGTTGAGCAGGAAATTGAAACTTTGACTTAAAATACATATTTTTGGCAAAATACGAGTCCCCGAATCAAGGAGGTCTAATGATTTTCTTTTCAATCGTTTGCCATTTTTTAGAAAAATTATGTAAATCTAACTTGATGACCAAGGCTAAGACAAAAAGTTTAGGAATAAGACTGTTCAGCAAATCACGACACAGTAAATAAAATTTTTCTTCCGTATATTTATGACCAATACTATGACTAAACGATAAGAAATGTTAGTGATAGATGACGTCAGTGACGGATAGAGATAAATAAACTTTCCACAACATTTATAAAAATTAACTTTTTTAAACTTATAAAAAATGACAAAATTGCATTAATTTATTCATTTAGTTTCTTTATTTATTTAGTTTATTTATTTAACTTAAAACTTATTGCGTTTATTCCTATGATTGTATATATATATAAGCTTTATAATAAAAGATGCTTTGCATGATTATGAGCTAAATAAATTATAAACAATCCGTGTCTTTTAAGGGAAATATTTTGCTCTTCATTTCTTTGAACCTGGCGTTCGTAATTCCGTATATAATGTTAAAACTTTTATAAATTAATAATTTTCGAAATCATTAATTTTTTTATATAGTAATCTAGATTTTTATTATTATTATATTTTCGGGTATTATTATATTCTTTGACCCTAAATTTTGAATTTGGCAAATAAAAAATCTGCAACTGGTTAGATACACTGCACTGTATATAAGTATCTTGATTATAAAATATTCTAGTCAAGATACTTATGCAATTTGGTTCTGCCAATTACCTAATTAATTAAAAAATATTCTATTAGGCTATAATTGGATAAATTGAAAATATTTCACTTAGAAGTTCTGTATTTTCAGTTAAAAGTTCTGAATTGGAATTAAAGAGTCTAATTTGTACTACTGAATAAGTTTAAGATTCAAGGAATTACATATAATAAAAGATACTTTTAGCTGCAAGTGGTTAGAAGAATTTTTACTTATTTTCTCTGCTCTTTCGAGTGCAGCGATCAACTGAGCAAATTTGATAGCTTGTTTTTATTCTTGAATGCATTACAAGGTTTCGCAGTTAAAAATCAGGAATATAGAGCGATGTAAAGATGTATTCTAATACTAGGAACCTAGGGCAGAAGGGGTAAATCAAGTTTAATCAAGTAGTTTCACTCGCTTTTCAAAAACAATGTTCTTAGTTTTTTTTTTTTTTTTTTTTTTTTAAAGATTGCAAAAAGTAAAAGACCCAATGTTTAGCTCAGTTAAGCCTCAGAGTTAGTTTGTCGATAATAAATAAATTGTAAACTACTTTTCTGGATTTAGAAATGTTTCCCGCATTTTTTCAATATTTATTCCAAATCTAATCTGCTTTTTAAATCTAATTGTACATAAAATAAATGAGATGTATTATTTGAAATTATCAATAACTTAGTAACAGAATAAGTTCTCGGTCAGAAAAATTTTAATAGAGTCGGAGTCGTGCACTCAAAAAGAGTCCGGAGACATACATTTCAACTACCGACTCCACAGCTCCGAATTATCCAATCAGGAAGGCGAACCTTCAATATTATTTGACACAGTCACAAAAATTTTAAATTTCTCGTGATTTGTAGTTGAAACATTTGTTTTCTCTCACTCGCGATTTCCTTTGAGAGATGATGGGGGGTGGAGCGTCGCGTGGGTGAGAATATTTTGGAGAACTTAATCTGATACGATACACCCGGCTCCGAAAACATCATTATTGGCGAAGCTTTCTCTTCCTATTGTGGCAACCCTAACCGCCACGCGAACGGGCTACCAACCACACAGCAGTCGAGTCCATCGCCATCTTAAAGGACACGTTCGCTACGACTTCGTTCTAGAAGACCGCTTCTGGGCACGTTTGTGGATATTCATTAATGTCACAGGTAACAAATTAATTTTATGACTAATATCAAAATTTTTTGTTTTAATTTAATTTGTAATGATTGCGCTTTGTTTTTGAGTGAAGCGGCGAAAATCGCGAGGTGACGAATTTTCGGGGTGTGCGCACCGATGTGTGAGTTTGTGCGTAGAAATGGGTAGGTGGAGGCGGGGGTAGGGTTAGGGTTCTTCGTGAGCAGCTGGTTCGAAACGGGCAAAGAAGAGAGGGAAAAAAAAGTTAGGGTTTTTGTTTAGTTTAAACATGATTCCTACGCATAGTTTAAACGCTGGTTCGATCTCTGTCACACCCCCATAAACTATTCAAAACAAGTGGATATATTATTTATCCTCTATCATCTAAGTTCTATGAGACGCTTGTTATTGCATATTCATTGGTTGCAATAGAAACTAATATTTTTTATTATTGACATTTGTTTATTAAGTTAAAAAGAAATATCTTAAATAAATGATTTCCTCTCTCTTATTTAATATTTCTTTTGATTAAAACTTTATTAAATGTGCGCATTCAAGAAGGTGTTTCGGAAAAAACTAATTTTTGCAAGCCGCTATGAATTAATTCCGTTTTTATGTCAATTAACAATAGATTGTTTTTTTTTGTTTAATAAGAAAAATATTAAAATCTCTGGCTGAAAATTAAAGACAAAGCATATATTAAATTTTGAGTAAAAGATAAAAAAACAAACATTATTAGTCTCATTTACATATATTAAAATAAAGAGCTTGTCCTTAATAAAATTAAATGGTGGAAAAAAATTTTCCTGTGATAAAAAGTTTCAGTTCAGCTTTTTACTTAATCCAAAAGTTCAGTTTTTTTACTATATAGATAAGCCACTTAAACTTTTTAAATAAATCCTTGGATTAAGTTTTTTTCTAAATTTTTTTGGTTACCAAAAATTTAAAAGGCAACAGATTTTAATCTTGTTACTCGAACTCATACATCTGCATTTAAGAATATCATTTTTATAAATTCTACGTTTTTTGATAATATATTGAAATTTGAAGAATAATTCAATACAAATTTTTCTTGAGTAGTTTTTCATATATTTTCTGGGTTGCACAAATAGATTGAACAAACGTGTACTGTATTCCCAAGCTGTAAGTTGTACACCCCTAAATTCCGTGATTACTTTTCCCAAAGGAAAGAAAATAACAGTTATTAATAACTCTTAATTATTAACTAATTGCTAACAATAATTTTATATAATTAATAATTAATTAATATTTATTTTTAAAAAATGATATCCTGTATAATTTATTGCATCATTTAATTTGAACGCATTTATTAAAGCTGAAAATTAAGTTGCTTCTAAATAAACTAAAGGAAATTAAGGAAAAATTCAGAAAATTAAATATTAATTACTCTAATTCTTTTACGTCACTTAAATTCTGAGGATGTGATTTACTTTTTAATCAATTGCAGATAATAATTTGATGTTGTTACAAATTATTTGTAATCATGTAAATGTAATTTAATAATTTACATAGTTTATATAAAATCTGAAGGATATTTGGATTTACGGTCTGCCTGATTACCCAAAACAATTACGTTTAAAAATATAGTCACAATTTAAAAATTTAAATAATTGACTGTTTTGTTTTTGTATTTATTATAGATTTATTTATCTTTTTCATTTGTAAGTTTTGGAAATCTGACTTTTCACCTGGGTTTGATTTGTGAAATGTTCACTCGATTCACGTTCGTTGTGTTAAGTTGTTTAAGGTGTTAAATGAGGCATTCCTACTGTAGTAAATATCACTTTACATTCTGAAAAAGAAAAAAATCAATTCGGTTTTTTTTTTTTTGAAAACTATTTTAAATTAAATACAATCATTAATTACTATTATTATTTTATGAAGTTCACAGAATTTAAGGAACAATAAATATATCCTTGCTCAATTTGTTAAAAAAATAATTTGACTAAATATATAATGATTTTTGACTGTATCATGAGAAGTTAATTCAACCAGCAAACTGAATACTAGAATATAAATTAGTTATTCATCACAATTTTTATTAAAATAAACACAGATTTAGATTAAAATATTTAAAAAAGTAAATAATCGGAAAAATATCAACAACATAATCCTTAGGTTGGGAGCATTTTTTGTTATTCTGGTTCTGCATGTTATGTCATACGTGAAATGACGAACAGTAAAATTTTTATATTTCATAATTTTATGTTTTATTTATGCATAACATTTTTCACCTGACAACTCAAATTTATTTCATAGTAAATCATTGTAAGAGTGGTGTAGCATTAAGTACGGGCAGAATGCTTTTTTACAGCGATGCACGTTCATACATTTGATTTTCATTTTAAACAAATTTTTACGTTTGTATTTTATTGAATGAGTTTTATCCTTTAATACATTGTCAAAAATAGTGTTGAATGATAATTTCTAGAGTTTAAACATGATTTTAGTTTTTAGATCTGCTCAGGGTAAAGTGAGGGGGAAAAAAATTTAAATTACGAATTTGAAGCACCTATATGTGAAAAGTTGCGTTTACAAGGCGTATTTATATCACAAAACCTCAGTAAATCAATTTATGTCTTCAATTTCCGAAGAAGCTTTAAATATAAAGCATTTCTGACGCAAACCTAAAAACCCTTTATGTCTTCAATTTCCAAAGAAGCTTTAGATTTAAAGCATTTCTGACACAAATCTGAAAAAACCGATTGATAAATAATAATTCTGATATGAACTCAAAAATGAACCATCAAAGAAATAAATCTGAAGAGTTTAATGTGATAGTCATCAAGACAAGAGGACATCGCCTTCAATACGCAACTCATTAAAAACATGTTTTTTTTTCTTTGCAAAAATAGTATCTTATTTATTACACATTCACAAAAACAGGACCGTGAAAGAAAAAAAAACTATTCTACGCCAGTTTAATTTAGAAAATTATTAACAGTATCTCCACAAATTCGCAAAAACAAACTTTTTCAAAAAGACTGGGCAAACCTAACGATTTTGCTATTTTTCGCAAAATCACAAAATAGGCAAAATAAGACCTTATTTTCTAAAAATTCACAACATTAAGAGTAGATTCTTCAGAAAATGATAAAAATAGGACCATATTTTCACAGAATTATTATTAGATTTTTCAAACTTTTTTCTTATAGAAGTTGAGCGACTTCTGCCCAAATAATATTAAGGAGTATATTATATTAAAACCTACAAGGATTTTGTTCATTTTATGAAATTAAGGGCCTTTCGAATGTTTAGGTCTTATTTCAATCAAGTTTCTTTGCTCGATCATTTTCCCTCAAGAAAAAAATAAATTATGCAGATAAAGGAACTAAAATGAAACAACAGGCGAAATTTTACTTACTGGAAAAAATATCTATATTTTGCAATACACTTGCGTGGAGTAAAAATATTCTGGTAAAATTGCCGTACGGTGACAATTCTGGTAATAATACCATAATTCTGATTAATTAAACCAAAATATATGTAAAACATTCATTTGGTAATTTTTTGATTCAAAATTATAGTTCTTATTTATGCTACACATTTGATAAAAAATACAAAACTGTATAGTAAATTTAACCGAATAAATGGTTTTTATTCCCTGCTTTAAAGCAAGATTTCTTAATTTTTTTGGTGTAGGGAACCATAGTATATATTTACGAAGATTTTGTGAGACTCCATGAGAAGACACCATAAAAATCATTGCGTAAATCTGAACCAGTAAAATTAATTGAGCTATTTGGTGTTCCCATAGAGCCAGAAACATGGTAAATTTTATCATATTCTGGTAGTTTTGACCATATTTTTTTCTCTGGGTATAATACCAAAAAAGAGAAACTTAAAGTATTTCTATTTTTTTCCTTCAAATTATGACCAATAAGTACGCTTTTTCAAAAAAATTTAACATTTTTAGATTTTTAAAACCATTGCATAAATTTGTACTGACTAATTGTGGGTGGTACGTACATCAAAATATTTTTCAAACTTTTTATTACTTCCACAGCGAACTCTAATATGAAAAATTTAAATTTTGCATTTTAGAGTAAGCATAAATGCTTAAATTTTAAAAAAAAGGCGTTGAAAAAAAGTTGATATGTTTTTGTTAAGTTAATTTTAATTAGGATACCATTTTATATGATTATTCTATTAAAAGATGGATCCTACATTCCTCTGCTTGTAAAAGAACTATATTTAGATATTGGTCTTCTAATAGAGTTACTGACATGTTCAATTATTCATTTATAAGTAAAATAATAAGTTTTGCTCAAGTGTTCCAATACCATTTTTCAAAACATGTACCTAGAATTATTTCATGAATCCTGAAATCACAGAACTAAATAGTTACGAGGGTTTTTATTAGGCTTAAGAATCGTTTTTTTAAGTAATGGTAATTATTGAAAAAAAATTAATTTTTTATTATAATGTTAGTATTATATCCGTTTTTATTAGTATTATATCCGAATTTTTATTAAGAACTCGATAAAGTTTCCAAAAAACTATGACTAAGACTGTATTTCTAAATGTTTTATTTAATTAAGAGTTTATTTATGTAGTCATGCGATTTTATATTTCCCATTTTTATTTCTTAATTGATTAAAAAAGTCATTTATTTTACTTATTACTAACTGAATACAAGTTTTCTGAACGAGATGGAAGAAAATAAAAATCATAAATAATTATAATGACGGTAATCAATGAATCGGTACTAATCTTTTAAAATCAACGCTATCATGCGGGAAGAAAAAAAAACCTATAAGGCATACTTTGGCAATAAAAAGGCAAAAGAATTTCTTTTTTATTATTAGTATTATATTATTTATTGTCCTTACTTGCAATGAAAATAAGAAAAACATTTTAAGAAGTTTAACTTATTTAAAAAATATATTTAAAATTTAACTTATCCTAAATGAAAGAAAGAAAAAGAAGAAAAGATTTAACTGTGTTTAGCATCATTTGGCAATGAAAATGATGATATTACTAGTGGCCATCATTTAGCAATCAAGATTTC